ACAGTATTGGCTAGCGTGACTGGGCTCAGGTGAGAGAAGACATATGTAGTGTCATCTGCAAATAGTGTGGGTTTGAGTAATTGCGAAGCATTTGGCAAGTCATTTATGTATAGGAGAAAGAGACGAGGGCCAAGGACACTTCCCTGTGGGACACCAACTGTAATTGGTTGTGCGGAAGAGCTTGCCCCATTTGCGTACACATATTGGCTTCTGTTGCTGAGGTATGACTTGAGGTAGTTGAGGGAGATCCCTCTTATACGATAGTGTGACAATTTTACGTGGAGCAAGTCATGGTCAACTGTATCAAAAGCTTTACGTAAGTCAATGAAGATCCCCAGTGGGACTTCTTTTTTCTCTATTGCAGTGTGTATATATGTTCTAGCATGTGTATAATAGCATCATTAGTATTTTTATTAGGCCTGAATCCAAATTGGCAGGGGTTGAGTATGTTTTGGGAGATGAGGTAGGAGTAGATTCGTTTATGAATTAATTTTTAGAAGATTTTTGAGAGAGGGTGTAAATTGGATATTGGCCTATAGTTATTCAACTCTGTTTGGTCTCCTCCTTTATGGATCGGGGTGACCCTTGCTATTTTGAGAACTGTAGGGAAGGTGGAGGATTCAATGGATTTGTTAAAGAGTGTTGCAATGATTGGTGATAGCACTTGTGACACTTTTTTGTATATAAAGGGTGGCAAGGTATTTAAATCTCCTGCCTTGTTTTTTAGTGCATTGATAATAAGGGAGACTTCGTATGGGTTAGTCGGAGCTAGGAACAGTGTGTTCGGGTAGTTGCCAGTGAGGTAGTCATTTGGTGGGGTATCTGAGCTTGGGATTTTATTGGCAAGGTTTTGTCCTATAGTGGAGAAGAAATCATTGAGTCTGTTTGCTGTTTCTGTTGGTGGGAGTTGGGGTTGATATGATTTTGCTAATTTTATTTCACTATTTCGTGATATCTTTTTTGTTCCCAGAATTTCAGATAGGGTTTTCCAGGTCTTTTTTATATCACCTCGTAAGTTGGATAATCTGTTCTCATAATACAATTTTTTTGCCCTTCTTATCAGGCTGGTTAGGATTGACGAGTAATGTTTTGTTTGGTCTCTGGTTATGTGACCCATTCTGTACTGTTTTTCATATCGGTGTTTTGCATTTATGGATTTGAGAATGCTGGGTGTTAGCCAGGACTGTTCAGTCTCTTAAAGCTGTCATCTGTTTAGTTTTTTTAGGGCAGTGCTTATTATAGAGGTATTGGGTCTTTTTTAAAAAATTTATTAAAACATTCGTCAATATCTGTATAGATTTCTAGCTCAGTGTGCCATTCAATGTTTGTTACTGCTGTTGTGAAGTTATTAATGGCTGCCTCATTGTGAAGTCTGAAGGTGACTTTAGTAGTGTCTTGGGGTATTTTACCAAGAGTTGTTATGAGGAAAGTAGGGTAGTGGTCTGTGGTATTATCTGTAATTATGCCTGATTTTAAAGGGGATATGGTGTTGGTCCAGATGTGGTCAAGTAGGGAAACACTAGTCTCCGTAACTCTTGTAGGTTTTGTTACTGTTGGTAGCAACATGCAGTTACTCATCGTGTTTGTGAATTCAGTAACGTGTGGGTCCTGGTCTTGCAGGAGATTTATATTTAAGTCACCTGAGAGTAGTAAGTGATCTTTGTTCATGCGTGCATCAGTTATCATACGTGCATCAGTTATCATACTTCCTAGGTTTTGACTAAATTGGCTAATGTTTGACTGTGGAACTCTGTAGATGTTTATCAATGTGAGAGGTTTTTGTAGGTATTTGGATTTGAATTTAGCTATTATATATTCCCCATGTTCATCCCTTGTGCAAGTATTAGTGATACATTCTAGTTGGTCTGAGTAGTATATAGCTGTGCCACCCCCTTGCTGATCTGTCCTACAGTTGTGTATGGCTGTGTAACCAGGAATGGCATAGACATCTGTAGTATCAGGCTTCAGCCAGGTTTCAGTTAGTGTAATGATGGACATATTGGCATGCAAGGAATTTAGTAATGCTATGAGGTCATCGTAATGCTTGCTTAAAGATCTGATATTGTAGTTAAAGACAGTTATGTTTTTGTTGGCTCTGAGAAGTGCCTTTGATTGTTCTGCTGTGTAGTAATTACAGTAACTGTTTGATTCATTTAAGTCATTCAATAAGAGGTTGGTATCAGGATCAATGCTTGTAATCATAAGATTTGTAGTGAATCTATAGTTAGAATTAAGTATAAAACAAAGTAAATCTTCTAAAGCTAAAAAATAGCACCTGAATTATTTAACAAATGTAAAAATAATGAGCTAAGGTAGTTTTTTTTAAAGCTAAAATAAAGGAGACAATATAAAAGGGACTAAAATAATTTGTGGTGAACAAATAAAGTGATGATCAAATAATGGAGCTTGGGAATATGATAGTAGGTAGTACTTTAAAGGTAATTCTTTAAAGTTAGAATTATAATATAAAATTATAATATAAAAGGGACTAATATAAGTTGTGGTGAACAATAAAGTGGTAATCAAATAAACGAGCTTTGGAATATAATGGCAAAATAGTGAACTTATTACACTTTAGCACCTGAGAATAGCACCTTGATTATTTTAACAATTGTGAATATATGAACTAAGGTAGTTATATAAAGCTAAAATAATGGAAAAAAAATATATAAGGGACTAAAATTAAGTAATGCAAAAATGCAATGCGCATAAAGGATCCGAAGATCTGGAATTCACTACCTGAACCAGTGAAGGATCCCCTGACAACATACAAATTTAGGGCTATGCTTAAAAATCGTCTCGTCCCTCAATACCAACCAAACGAACCAAAACAACTTCTAACCATTTGAAGCAACTCTCCCAAATATTATATGACCTCTAATCTATTAAATATCTGCCAATCCATGAAACAGTATTACTGTTTGAACCATTAATTGTAATACTGTTCTTATTGTGCAACTTCAAGATTATTATAGTTATAAACTTCCACTTTGACTACCTCACATTAGTATTAGGATAAAATAAAGATTTATTAAAAAGTTAACCATTCGTCTTCTCTAGGCAAAAGTAATTATTAAGTCTGCCTGAAATGCCCCAGCATGATAGTGGCTTTCTTTGTACTTAACAAATCAAAACTGTAAATTACACATTGTAACCTTGCAAGAAATAAAATCTTTATATTATCTTTATGCGAGACTGACACAAGGGATGTCAAAGAGTACCTTTTGCCTTGTATTGTGACTGTGCATTCTGTTGTAGCTATCAAGAACAACTTTAAGTGGAGGGTTTATATTGGAATTTAATGTTCTGTATATATAGTATGTCTCGTATATTTAGTAGATTCAGGCTTTTGTAAAGTGGTGGGGTGTGCTTTCTGGCACAGGAGCTGGTAATCATTTGCACAGCAACTTTTTGTTGGGTTATTAAAGGTTTAAGGTGGTTGGCTGTGGTTTATCCCCAGGCACAAATACCATAGGTGAGGTAGGGATATATTAAAGAGTGGTATAGGGTAAGGAGTGTTGTTTGGGGTACGTAGTATTTTATCTTGGAAAGGATACGTACTGATTTGGAAATTTTCTTGGATATATGCTGGATGTGGGAATGAAAATTATAATTACAGCCAAGGAGAAGTGTGTCTTATAATAGGGGAACTATTTATCGATATGTTAAGTTGGATACTTAAGGCTCTGTTTCCAAATAGCATGAAGTATGTTTTGTCTATGTTGAGAGTGAATTTGTTGGTCATCATCCAAGTACAAGTACATATTTTTAGCAGCTCATTTACAATGTCTCTTAGAATAGCTGGCTATTAGTGAGTAGACATTAGTAGTGTTGTCTGCAAACAGAAATGGTTTAAGAAGTTGAGATGGATTGGGGAGATCTGGAGTTTACCTGGAGAGTGTTCCGGGGGTCAACGCCCCCGCGGCCTGGTCTGTGACCAGGCCTCCTGGTGGATCAGAGCCTGATCAACCAGGACGTTACTGCTGGCTGCACACAATCCAACGAATGACCCACAGTCCGGCTGGTCAGGTACCGACTTTAGGTGTTTGTCCAGTGCCTGCTTGAAGACAGCCAGGGGTCTATTGGTAATCCCCCTTATGTATGCTGGGAGGCAGTTGAACAGTCTCGGGTCCCTGACACTTATTGTATTGTCTCTTAACGTGACACCCCTGCTTTTCATTGGCGGGATGTTGCATCGTCTGCCATGTGTTTTGCTTTCGTTGCGAGTGATTTTCGTGTGCAAGTTCGGTACTAGTCCCTCTAGGGTTTTCCAGGTGTATATAATCATGTATCTCTCCCGCCTGCATTCCAGGGGGACATTAGGACATTAATTAGAGAAAATGTTTCAGCATAAGTGGCTTCTTCAATCCTAATCTGATTACAACTGAAGAAGCCATTTGCGGCAAAATGTTTCCTCTAATAAATGTCCTGAACTGTACCTAAGTGCCTTTTTCCATTTCTTCCTGTAACATCTCAGGATGTGAATACTACCCGTCTTTCTTCTCTCATTACCTTACACTTAAAAGGGTTCAACTATAGTAGCCACTTATCAGACCTTACTCACAGCGTGCTTGTGCCACCCTGCAGTCTTCTACCGCCAGTTTTGAGTTACGAAACAATCAAACTGATGTCTGTGGTATAGGATGGAAGCAGTAATGATGTGTATGGAGTATGTGATAAGGCAGCAGAATTCCATCTAGGGAATTTTGTAAAAGACAAATCTTAAAGGAAATGCTGCCCAGGAAATATTGTGGTTAGAGACAGTACAAAGTATTCTTTGCATAGGAGAGCAAGAGAAAATATAGCTACTTTTCATACCAATTTAAGAAAAAGAGTAAAATCCATAAATGTTTCATTATAATATACAAGTTCCTAAAGTTACATATTCATTTAGAAATAAATTTTGTAAATGAAATGTGCAATATCTTTAAGGAACTGAGGATAAAGCAAGAATGAATATTTACTAGATTAATGTTAAGGTACATTATTTTTATTTACAGGTTCTTGACATTGCAAACCAGACTCGTGGCTACTGTGGTTGCAAAGAGGTTGACTGTATCAAATCTCATGTTAAGAGGGTAGCAGATGGCAAGTATGAGATTTGTGGCAGAAATGTCTATGTTAGGGTAAGTACTCAAGTACAGGCCTACTGGTAAGTTGGACAGCCATGGTGGAAGAGATAAACAGTACTGAACTTTGGTAACAAATCTTCAATAGTAGTATTTGACCAAAAAAAAACATTTACTATACACTCAGGAAACAAGGGGAATATTCTCTAGTAAAAGTGATGCTAAGTCTGAAATATGTTATGTTATTGTAGTTTTATGTCTAGACAGGGTTGTGAATGCTAGTGAGAGAAAGGTGCAATTGCAAAGAATGTTTTTATATAAATTTCCAGTTCATAAAGTTGATACAAGTTGATGACAAGTGGAGGATTTCAGAAATGCATGCAACAAAGTTGAAAGTGAATACAAAAAAAAATACATATTGAAAGAAATATGTAGGAAGTGAATATTTTAGGTAAGTAGCAATGTTTGTGTCAGCAGAGAAACCTAAGACAGATGAAACTTATCATAATAGATGATCAAGCAAAATTAACAGGAGTGTTGGGAATTCTGTGAATTTTCCTTAACCCTTTCACTGTCGAGATCTTTGATCACAAATTTGCTCTCAGTATCGAAGAAAAAAAAAATCTTATCAAAATCTTAAGAATATTTTTCTGATTGTTTAAAAAAAAAAAGTTTGCGATCAGCACTCACCGAGACATAGAGGCGTGAAGTTGACAAAGTCAACTGCTTACTGCAACATCAGCAACTGCCACTCACTTAGTAATATTAGTTTTACTTTTATTCTATTTTTCTTTTCTCTTCTAATACATATTTTATTTTTTCAAGTAACTTTTGTGGCCTGTATGCAACACAACTGCACAATCATTGTTATTACAGTGGACCCCCGCATAACGATTACCTCCAAATGCGACCAATTATGTAAGTGTATTTATGTAAGTGCGTTTGTACGTGTATGTTTGGGGGTCTGAAAGGAATAATCTACTTCACAATATTCCTTATGGGAATAAATTCGGTCAGTACTGGCACCTGAACATACTTATGGAGTGAAAAAATATCGTTAACCGGGGGTCCACTGTATATTGTTCACAAAACTTGTTTACACAAAACCACTCTGCCTTCCCCACTCACACCATCATCCCCACCATCCATGCTTTCTTCCCCACCATCCAAGCTGCCTTCCCCAAAACCCACACTGTCTTCCCTTTTCACTATCTGTATCTGGTATCCTGGGCATTGCTTTCAGTCACAAACTCCTCAAAACCATGAAAATCATCTTCACTGACACTTCCATCTGTGTTAGAACTATCACTTGGGCAGTCCCAAATTCACTGGGGAGTCGAATATTTCTTACCGCTAGGCATGCTGAACAAGGACTACTGAAATGGCATTCCCACAATGCACCACTGGCTCCCAGATTTTTTTTATACTGCACACTGACCATGAAGACCCATTCTCTCACATGTAGGCCTACCAGCTTTCTCCCGCTAGATTTGAAGCCACTAGAATTTTGGCATAGTACTACAGCACCAACACTGACTCCTAAGCCGTAGTACTATGGCACCAACAGTGAAAGGGTTAATGGATTTTAAACAGGTTATGTATCAGTATAGTAGTCCAACAATTTTATATGGATATCATGCATAACATTTTCAGTGTTGCAGCTAGAGGTGAGTGGAGACAATGGAATTGTCTGAAATCCATGTTGTGTCAATATTATGCCAAGAATCAAGAATATAAAAAATTTAGATGGTGTACTGATTAATATTACTACACCATCACTAGAAAATGAGTAGATGAGAGGATGTGGTAATGTACTGTGTTCATCATTTTAGTATGTCAGCGTCCTCTAAAATCCTAACCACAAGAGGTTATCCCTTGTACTTTATGTTATTCTTGAACTGTGTAGGTGGTGATTTACACATTCTTCAAGGTTTCATGGGGTAAATTCAGCCACAACTCACAACTGCCTCCTAAAGTCACGGGAGAGAGCTGATATCCTTCCTCCATACTATATTTGAGCCCAGAGGCTCTAAATGGAGTTCATGTCCTGGAAGTTTCCTGGCCAGTCATCAAAAGTGGTTACTTATTTCCACAGTCATAAAGCCACTGAACAACAAATTTTAGTGTGACAATTAGAATTGTTTTCCACAAAAAACTCTCACCACAGTGAGCAAAAGATTTGGGCAAATGGTAACAGATCAGTTCTAGGTACGTTAGTATAGTTAACGGTAGTGAAGTTTTTCTGTGCTTTCCCGGATGTGTTCTTAGTGTGGGCAATATCATGAACACTGTCCAGAAGAAGCTGACACCACCAGGTACTCACCAGATGCTCATGCACATTGCTGACTTCTATTTCCTTAATTTGATGGTCTGCCTTTTGTAATCCAGTTACATCTGGAACTGTCATATGACAGCGACTTAGTCTTGCCCATAATTCATCAAAAGCCAAAAGTATCAGACAAACTCAAATTTCAAGATCACATGGTGCAGGGGGGGCAAAGGTCACAAATTCATGCACCATACAAGCCCAGAAGGCACTTAGAATCTAGCCAGTAGCCAGAGGAAATCTGGAGAAGTCCCGCTTTGAGTTACCAGGCCAGTATAAGTTGTCTCACTGATAAATATACCAGGGTAGGGCATTACATATTGAAAACTAAATTATGTCAGGTTCCTTAAACCCATCATACTTTAATGATGAACACTGTAGAACTGTATGAAGCTAATATTAACATTAATAAAAATATAGTGGCTGTAGTGTAGATGTCCAAGAAAGAGTTGAAAAGAGGCAGAGAAAATTTTATAGTGGCAGGTGCTTAGGCATCCAGTATATGTGAGCATGTGAGCATATTAGATTATATATAAGTGATTTTTTTTGGTATGTCCTTAACAACTGGAGGAGCAATGTGATTAATGAAGTAATCCAGGAACACTGGTACTAAATATCCTGCCTCCAGAGTTCTGGAGGTGGAATGTTTGGTGCTTGAACCCTGAAAGTTGTCAGGATGCTGTAATTTGGACATTATGAATAGCAAACATATGCGAAAGTACTTATGGAGAACCTTTTGCTATTTTCACTGTGGTTATCCTGCACATGTGTTATTACCTGTTTTGGAGATTCTTCTGCATCTAAAGTGTGAGGTATGTAAAGAATCACTTTATAATGCCCAACTATAATTATGCTTAATCCACCTAAGTTTAAATAAAATAGACGAGAACATTTATGTGAATACACACACATCTTCGAAGTTATTATAAAAAAATGGTACATACACTATTGTACAAGCACACTATGTGGTGCTTCAATAAGTGCCAGGTTTACATTCCTATGAGGAATATATGGATTAAGTGTTTATTTCATCATTCAGAAGAGTCAACTGAAAGAGCTCGGCCGGCATTGGAGTGTGGACCTGTCTTCTGAAGGTTCCTCAGTTGTTTATTGGTGGTGTAGGCCCTGTTTAAGCTCTGCTTCACATTCTTTCTTTTCTTGTGTGCTTGAGTTGTCATTGTCTTCTCCATCAGGCAGTGTTGTGTGGCCCATTTATGGGGGGTTCGACTGAGATGTCATTCGCCCCCATAGAGAGGGACCCCCCTCCTGTCTCTACACAGTTGACAACTGTTTCACTACCGTTGGACCAAGATATGGCTAGTGCGCCCCCTACTGGGATAAACAAATGGGCCCTTGAGGTTGACGACAGTGCCAGGCCCCTGTCTAGCCCAAAACACCAACCCACCACTTGTCCAGACTATGCTCCTCCTCCTCACATTACTCCAGACGTGGTGGTGGTGGTTCTTGTGCATGCTAAGGATGGCGGTACGCCCTTCACCAACCCACGGGACATCACCAACGCCATCAGTGGATCTCCTTTCAGCAAGGCTTGCATAGATGGGGGTGTCCAACAACTTGGTAGGGGTGCAGCCCTAAGGCTCCGGCTCCATCGTAAGTCTTTTCTGGCTAAAATTTGCCACTAAATGCCATTCGTGTCCTGGGTAGGTGGAATGTTGTCTGCTGGGAGGTCTGCTCCTCAATCCTCGCCACTGGCTGTTGTTACGGCAGAATTGGACCGATTTCTACATCCCTCTCAGATGAGGAGATCCACTCTGAATTGGTTCACAGTGGGGGTGATGACTTAGGTTAGCGGGAGGTTTGGAGCCTCTCAAATCATCCTACCCAATCTCGTATGGTTGATGTATGTTTCTCGGGTGCTCTCCCGAAATTTATGACTTTTGGCAATCTAAGATTTCCTGTTCTTCCTTATACTTTTCCTTTACTCATGTGTCGGAAATGTTTCCTTTTTGGGCATGGAGAGTTGTCTTGCCGTGGTAAGGTAAAATGTGCGAACTGCAGAGGGTTTCACCCAGTAGTTAAAGACGGCATTACCTGTACCCACCCAGCTTCGTGCTACTTCTGTAAAGGGAACCACAAGGTTACCTCCCAATCTTGCCCGGCATATCGCCAGGCTCTTGATTTGGCAAACTCAGCCAGGGTCCAGTCTTGTTCGCTTGATGAATGTAACTCCTGCTTGTGGTCCGTAAAGCCATTCACAGTCCATCAGCCCCTTCCTCCTTCACCTCCAGTGCCCCCCACTAAGGGAGTCTCCCCAACACCAACACGGCCAGGACATCTGTACTCCGCAGCTGTGAGGGCTAATATCCCTGTTACAAATCTGTTTGGGGCTCTTGCAGACCTCTCTTTCCCTTTAGAGGATTCCCCACCCCCTGGGCAACATCAACTCAGGGTGTCCTCGAACCCGGCTTCCATTGCGGAAATTATTGCACATACCTCCCCCTTGTCCACAATGCACGTCCTCCCGTCGAGGTGGTACAGTTCCCAAATCGACTCGTTGCTCAGAGCCCCACCCAGTTCAGATGGACATCATACCCGACCCGGAGCCTCCCATCTCGCAGCCGACTCCCCCCCCCCCTCAATTCTCCTCAACCCCAGCCTTGGCCTGTCTCCACTCCAGGACCCTTCATGTCTGAAGGTCCTGCTTTCTCACTCTCGCCTGCCTGGGCTTTATTCCTTCATCCTATCCTCCTCCTGCTGGAGGTGCTACATT